GTTCCTCCTATTAATTAATCTCATTAACAGATGTGAATTCTGTAATCTTGGTCATGGCGACCCTCTAGAACTTGCAGTTACAATTTCTTTTATGAGACTTACTCAGCGGGGTAGCCTCTGAACTGGAACCAATCTCAAATAGAGACGACAGGACAACACATACATCAACTGAATCCTTTTCAATCAAAACTTCTTTTCCCTTGGCGGATGATTTTGTGGGTACAGTGACAGTGAATCTGGCGGTGGTAGGTGTAGCGACTCTCCTTGACACGAGAGAGGCGGATCTTGCAGTCACTAGAACAACGGACTTAATGGGTGTCGGGGTGGTAGCAATCTTCGCCTTCTTCTAAGAAGGGAAGTCCTAGTGGTAGTTCAAATTGAATTCAACAGATGGCTTCTAGACATCCATGGTGGTGACTTTCATGACAACGAACGAGGCCTTCTGGAGACCTTGAACTCATTAAACCTAGATCCAAACTTGATCATTAGAGCAATGTAGCGAGTGTCGCGAATGTTAAGCATGTTTCAAGAAAGGTTAGAGTCGAGAACGCCATCATAACAGTTTAAAAAAGAAAGTTCCAAGGGTTAGTATTGGCGAATACCTCGTAATTTTAGTGCAAGCACAAAAGTTTACGAAGGTCATCTTGCAAGCTAGGCACATCCTTTCTTATTCTCATGTTCACTTCATTTTCATTTTTAGAATTGTTGCCTATTTGTGATTATAACCTTAAGGGTTTTGATTAAAATTAAACAAAGGCGAGCAGACGTAACGACTTGGCTAGATTTACCAAATAACAAAGCAAACTCGAAAGATATGAGGGAAAGGTGAAGTTTAGGACCCATTGCAGGATCAACATCATAATGCACATTGCCCGAGAAACAAATCTATTGGATGTCCGACCCCACACAAAAGGAAAAGTTCTAAGGAACTCCTGAACCTCTTTGTTTAAAGGTGCTTAAACATACGGTCCTAGAATCTAAAATTGTTGACCGTACTTGCCTAAGAAAGAAATGGGCAAAGCATAATCCCGTTGGAAAAAACAAACTTTAAAAATTATGAGAGGCATTTTGGGACTAAACCTAGGACTGGAGTTAACATACCTTCTACTTCAGCTTTTACTTCTACTCCTGCTTCTACTCCTATGCCATCTACTTTTGATACTATTTCTCTGGATTCTGCTATGGATCAAATGATGATTCAGTGAGGAGATATCATAGCCTTACAGAATCAGATAAAAGGCATTGAATCTCAATTGTATCATTTTGATGATATTATGTTCAGGAAGGTTGAGTATGATATTGTCTATAATGGGGCTATAATGAGATCATGGGGGGTGATCATTCTATGGAATTTCCTACATTCCCCATTTTCACACCATATCGACCTTCTGAGATAGATGACAATATAGATTTGGGAGATGATGATGATGATGATGGTGATGATGATGCTGGTGATGACGAAGATGTTGATGTGCAACGTGTTGTTATCTTTCTTTACTTTGATGTGTTTGAATATTTGGACTTTATTTTGTTAGTAATTACTTGTGTTTGTGTTGGAGTATGCTTGTATTTAGTTTCTTTACTTAATTTTTTTTGTTAAACCGTTAGTTCTACTATTTAGCTTTTGCTCCAATATAAAGGTTAGAGTAGTATCTATTTTATTTTTTCATTGTTATGCATGTTAATATTATGTTTATCACTACTCAGTTCTTGTCTTTACTACTTGTACCTGCATTTTTTTCCCTGTTTTAAAATTTAAATTTTTTTCTCTTTCTTCATGAGCTTTCCTGATTTAAATTAGTTTAAAAAATTTAAGTTCGGGGGAAGGGAAGAAATTCTTTTAAAGCTAAACTTTATTGGTCCTCAAAGAATTATATTATTCAAAATTATTTTTAACATAACCTGTGGTATGTAGAGTTAACTTTAAAAAACTATAATTTTGATTTTATGAAAGTTGTAGAAAACCTAAGTAAAAGTTTTTAATGATGATGCTTAATTCTAGAATTAAGATATTTAGTATGAAGGGTTTAGAGTTATGCATTCACTATTTAAAGTAAAGAAACCAGTATTTTTAGAAATATTAAGGATCTTAGATTTATACTTGAAAAAAAAGAATTGAGACTTTATGAAAAATCGACTTTATGGAGACTTTATGAAAAATCATCAAAGCTAATACACATTTGTTAAAGTAAATAAATGTGAGATGTTTTTAACTTTAAGAGGAGAATAGTGATGTTCAAACCCATTAAAGGCTATCTAGAGATTGTAATCCTCACATGACATATAAAAAAAAATATAGAGAAGAAAAAATAAATGATTGAAAAAGGTCCTAAAAGTAAAAGAAAAAGTAAAGCAAAAAGAGAAAATATGTGAGGAGAAGCTTGAGGAGATGCCTAATCAAAAAATGGCTCGACTTGAATCACCTTAAGAAAAGAAATTGAATTACATTTCTAACTTTGACTTAGAAGTATTATCACCTTTAATAATAAAGTTCTCATGAAATTTTTATTCTGGTAATTCTTCTATGTACCTTAAGTATGACAAATTGCAGTTCTTGTTGAAATAAATAGAAAATTAGAACTTTTAAACTTGACTGCAAAATATTCTTGTATTTTTGTTTTTAACCTGAGTAATTAAAAGTATTTCTGAAAGTTTCATTATAGCATTTATAAAGCAAAAATTATAAATTAATTAAAGTTAAATTTGCTACGACAAGTTATAAAATTTTATATAGTATAAGGTGTTACTTGAGGACAAGTAACGTTTAAGTTTGGGGGAATTGGTCCATCTAAAAAAACTTATTTTTAGTGCAAATTTTATAAGCATTTTATGTACCTTTTCCTCCATCCTGCACCCTGTTTATTCCCACCATAACATCACCAATGCCTACATTCCATATTGGTGTAGGTCTTTCTACTATTGCAGATTGAGGTGCATCAGTTGACATAGGATTACTACTTCTCTCATAAGTTGCTAAAATAAATACTTTATAAAAATGCACATATTTTTGTTGACATTTTATTTTGTTCTATATGGTTAAGTTAAATATTAGAATTTAATAATTTTTTTTATGATAAAAATTGATAAAAATAGTGAAGCTGCCATCTCAAAAGAAAAAGATGTTAATTCTAAAGATTTTGAAATCTTTTAACAGCACCAAAAAGTTTTTTCTTTACCTAGTCTAGAAAAGATGGGTTTTATTTTATTCTAAAATATAGTTTTTTTCCATAAAAAACAAGCCTTTAAAATTAAATATAAATAAGAAAAATTAATTTCTTAAGAAAACTCTCACAAATTGTTGTGGCTAGAGGTTATATGTTTTGAATATTTATGATCAAGGATTATTTTCTATTTTTATACAAATAGTTCAATTATAAGGCAACACTTCTCAAGATGTCAAAATAAAAGAGTTCAAATCATTAAATATCGAGAAACTCATTAATACTCTAAGCTACACAGTATTGAGATATATGGTGTATTTGGATGACTTTTTATTTGCTTTGAGTTTTAGACCGTCACCACAACTTTATTTGCTTTGAGTTTTAGACCGCCACCACAACTTTATTTGTGAACCTGTTTACTTGTTCGTTTCTAAAAATTGCTATTGTAGGGAGCTGTTTTTTTTAAATCAGACCTATTAAAACGCAGTGTTTGTAAGAAATCCGTTGCATATTTTTTTGAATTATATAATTTTCATGGCAGCTTTCTCTGAAGTTGCTTTCTCCATCACTTCTTTATAACCGATTTATTAAAAAGGTGCAGCAATAAGAAAAAACTCTTAAATACTTTGAACTTAAAAGTTTATTATTTGAGTGTTTTATTTATTTAAACTTTTTGCTTACGTTTCATTAATATAACTTTGTGAAAAGGCCTAAAAAATACAGACTTTTGATTAAACTATAAAATAATTTCTCAGCGTTGGATCCTAAAACTAAAGTGAAAATCACAAAAGATAGTAGTAACGCAAATGCAGATGTAATCAGATAGTATAACTTAGAACTTTTAGGGTGAGTGGGGAACGACGAATTGGTGTCGCATGGGTGTCTTTTGTGGCAAAACATTGTTTTGTCTGCACATTTTAAAAAACGGCAATTTAAAGCTACGGAGGTTTCTAAAAAACTGCAATTTCACTATTTTTTAAAAAATAAATTTTTATAGGTGCACCAACTTTTTTAGTAATTGTTAGCAGCTTCATAACTGTTTCTTCAAAAAGCTGCGACTCCCCTAAACTGCCTACCAATTTATTTTTAAGAGATTTGTTTGATAAGTTTATTTATTTTTAAGAGATTTGTTTGATAAGTTTTAAGGGATAACTTTTAAAAATATTTTTATCATTCCGACTTAGAATTAAGTCAAGTGATTTAACGTTTAAATGATCCATTTTTTAAGTAATTATTAAAGATAAGATATCATTTCTCGAATATCTAATTAAAAAAATTGAGAATTAGTGCAATCAGTTAAAGTTTAAAAATGTTTTATTTTTTATGTAAGGTTTTAAAACGCTATAAAATGAATTTTAAAATTATTAAAAAAAGTTTTCTGCAGTAAATTGTTTTCAATATTAACTTATTTAAGAATAGATATACTTTTAATTTACATTTTTGCGTAATTTAAATATTCAGTTGTTATCAAGTGAATATAAAGTTTAGATATTGTTTATGTGTGTGTGTGGTCTCTCTCTCTCTCTCTCTCTCTCTCTCTCTCTCTCTATATTAAGAATTATATAAAATATATAATTAATTTCTTTAATTATTAAGTCAACAATTATATAATATATAGCTAGGTTCTTCAACTGAAAAGTTAACTCTAATTGCATATTGCTGTTGGTGCTACAAGTAATCTTATATTGTATTATTTCAGCATATGTCTCATCTTACATTCTAATTCATAAACAACACGAATACATCCATTTTATTTATATTTTAAGAAAAATATTAGTTAATTTAAACTCATTAACCATAATATTCTTTAAAGAGTGACTGATCATGATAACCGTTAAAACCAGATCTTCCTCCTGTCTCAAACGCTGCCCTTAACTGCATCGCTATATCCATTAAGCAAGTCATAGTATCGACTCCACAGCATTATTCCCCCATACGTGGAGGACATACTCACCGCCGCCAGCACCTGCGACACCAAGTTGCTAGGTGGTATATAACCTCCACTCGGCGCAGCATCCTGAGACGCGGGCAACCCCACGAAAAACGCAGACGCCTTCACACTCTGCGTCCACTGTCCCCACGCATTAATCAAATTTTCTGCGCTCCCACTCGCATATTGACACGGCGGATTGTTATAAAACTGAACCCAAACATAGTCGAACAAGCCTGTGGCCAATGCCTTATCCAAGTGCGCATCAGGGTAAGGGCACTGCGGCGCGGCCGACAGGTACACCTTTTTGCCTGCTTGATCCCCGTAGTTTGCAAGCGTCTGCACGAGGGTGTCGTAGTAGTCGGAGCCACCAGCCTCGATGTCAAAATCGATTCCGTCGAGAACGGCCGAACCAAGCGGGCGGGAACTGGAAGTGCCGCCAAGAAAATTATTCCATAGGCAGGCGGCAACATTGCTGGCATCTTCAGACGAAGAAAGAGAGTAACCGCTTGAGTCGCCGCCGAGGGAGAGTAGGACTTTGATGCCGAGGGATTGGCATGAGCTGATGTCAGAGGATAGGCTTGTGCAAGTTCCTGATGGAGGATCGCAGTGACCAGCTAGGTTGAGAACGGGTGTTTGGCCACCGCCGAAGACGGTTAGGAAAGAGAGGATTACGTAGCCGTAGTTTTTTGTACCGCAGGTATCGGAGAGAGTTCCCTCTTTGCCGTTCTGACCCCAGTAGACGGCAATTGTGCCGGCGTTGGCTAGGCAACTGCTTAAAAAAAGTAATGTAAGGACAGCGAGCTGGGAGAAAGAGGATGACGCCATGGGTTGAGACTCGGTTGAGATGTTTTGAAGCGCTGATCAGTTTTTATAGAGCATAGATACCTTGTAGATCTTCCATTATTCCTACTCCGGCGGACGGAAATAGAGTGGGAATGGAACGACGAAGATTATGGGATGGACAAAATTAGTCAGTCAACCGTTGGGGGACGTAGTACCGGCGAAGAATATTCAATGTAAACGTCTAATCGATTTTATTTGTTCAAACGTGTAATTCTAGCTTTTTAAAACAACATTTATTCATAATTTATGTATATATATATATATATATATTCATCTGTTATTTAGCAATTTTGATGGTTGGAACAGATTTTATTTAGTTTTCTTAAATTAATTTGGTTAAAAAATAGATAATTTTCCAATCTTTTAAGGAAGATTGAAATATCTACAGGATAATTTTATTTTTTATTTTTTTATTTATAGGTCCAAAAATTTTGTGAAGAGGATGCACATTATAATTTAAATCACCTACTAGAGAGTTTTTTCCCAATGAAATCTTGTACATGGCTAACTTCAGAATTTGCTCCAACATCATTGTGTAGCAGAAGTAGGGCGCGAGCTTTGGCTTCAAAATTTTGTATCTTCTACCAACTTGGTTGATATTAAATTGAGAATCTCCATAGAAACTAACACACTTTATATCCATTAGATTTATCAATTCTTTATCAATCATCAATCCTTCGTATTTTGCTTTGTTGTTCGTCTACAGCTCTGTCAATTGGTCGGAGAACCGTAACATCCCTTGCGCTAGATTGATGATGATCGGTCTGATTCCTGCTTTACCGGGCACTATTGCTCGTAATTTTGTCTTTACTTGTTGAAGAAGCTCCGTGAAAATCCATCTCCCAATGCCGAGTATTGGGGTCTTCTACATCCATTACTTGATGATACAATTTGAAATTACATAATTTTCAGAAATTAAATTTTGTTAATTATCTTATTTGTCATGATATTATAGTTGAGAAAAATATTATTGTCATGTTGTGCAGAATACAAGGCTTAAGACACTTGGAAAAAATAGAAAAAGACTAAAATTGATGAAAAATAGGTCTTCGTACCAGTGGGCCCTCCACTCATGAATGGGCATTTGTGCCCCACAGCCGTGCACATAGCCTCTCAGCTTTCCTCCGGCGCTTCCCACCTCTGCGTACGCTGGCATGCGCACCCCCGCGGTGCATTTGCCCACACTTGCAGACTTGCCAAATCCTTCTGGGCTCCCTCGCTTGCAAGACTTGCCAAAGCCAAGCTCCTGGCTTGCCAAATTTAGCTTGCTAGTAATGCACGAGCCCAACCAGTTGCGCTGGTGTGCATGAACCCGCGATATGCACTAGTGCACTTGAAGCAAACACTTGTCTAGCTAGGACATACCAAATCCAGCTGCGAAAACACAGAATTTGAAGATTTTGACCAATTTGGAGAGTTTTTGTACCTACTATTTATATCTAATACAATAAGTAAGTATAAAACCATGGTTTTATCTTTATGTGAAGACTTTTTGTTTACGGGGCTGTGGCTTTAAAGCTTGGGAAGTAGTTTGTAGGAGTTTTATTCCTCGGCTTCGCTCGGAAGAGTATGTTTTCTTGTTAATTCATGATTTTTTTAGCATTTTATGATCTTGTAAAGTGAGATTGAGTGCATTTGTATGGGAGAGATCTATGAATATTTGTATAGATTATAAACAACTTCGATGTATTTTAAGGATCGATTGACTCTATCTTAAGTATTCCGTATTTCTTACATTGTTTCCCTTCGTTATACTTTCCATAAGAAAGTTCCTTTCATCTTTCATCACGTAATATAACTAATCTTATTTTGTATTCCTATGGATAATTCTTGTGAATTTCTTGGAATTTTCAAGCTATGAATTTCTTCTTCCCTCGATGCCTTTGTGAAGCATAAATTTCTACTAATAATGTGTTAATCTTCCTATCATCATTTACATTTTATCGAACACGATAAGAAACTTAAAGTCCCTCGTGAATTATGACTTCTGCTCTTTACATAGTGGTATGAGTAGGTTAACCACAAAATCCTAGTACAATTAGACATATTATACTAGGATTTTGGAACCTATCTAGGAGATCAGAAAAATTTTGCAAAATGACATGAGGAATAAGGGAAATTAACTTCATGAGTTCCAACCCTTTTCTTACGTAAGCATAGGCATAAGGAAAAATGGTATCCTTGGTTGTCAACTATAGTGTGGAACCCCTAGAAAAACTACAAAAAAATCACCTAAACTATGTCACAGGAGTATGTGTCTTGCATATTCAATAAGCTTAACACATTTTCCTGCTATTTCTATTTACTTTCTTTTTAGGTATTCTAGATTCATGTTCTGATTTTGATCTTTTTAAACTAGAACTTTGCCTGTTAGAAATATTTTTAGAGTATCCTCATGGAATTGATGCGCTGTACTCTTTAAGTGCATTATGAGTTGACGTGTATACTTGTGTGATGACTGTCTTACTCCATAATAATTTTTTGGCACCGTTGTCAGGGACAGTTGTCAAAATTTTCTAACCTTAGAAAAATTTTAGTCAAAATAGTAAGAATCTAAGTTTGAATATTATTTTTACTTTTATCTTTATTTTTATTTTGTTTTATTTTTTTCCTTTGAATATTTATTTTTTTTAAAAAAAAAATTTCAACACTCCTCAAGAAAACCAATTAAAAATTTTCAAAAGTATACCAACCAATTGATGGCTAGTTTTTACAGTAAATTTAAACACCAAATGACAAAGCTGCAACTAAATAAATTTATACCTTTTCAGGATTATGTCAACCCGTTGTTGGCTAGCAATCAAAAAAACTTTGAACACCTTGTCATAGAAACTAAGTTTGATGATCCAAACTCCATCACTTACAACCCATGTTGGTTAACTCACCAAAACCTTAATTTGACTAATAATAATCCAAATATAGAAAACAAGCAGTAGTGGAGCCCCCAAATCAATCCTATTGAATATTGGAATAACCAGGATAGTGACTACACTAAAGAAAATGAGAATTTGATTGTATTGTTAGTAAATTTACTAAATCAATTATATAGCCAAACTGCTTCATTAAGAAGCTTATAAAGCCAAATAGAGTAGTTAGGTAGCCAAGGATCTCAATAATTCTCAGGGGTAGTGGAGAGCCATAACTTTGAATCACAAAGAAAGGTCCTGATATAACAAGAAAGGTAATATTTCCCTAAAATGTTTTTCCATAAATTTACATGTTTTTATGTTGATATTATTCTTGAGAAAGATATATTTCTCTCAGTTGTGCAGGAGATAGCTTGAACGTGATTTTGAAGCAAAAAAGATGGAAATCAGCATAAAAGAGGATATATTAGACCAGCACACCTGAGTTAACACAATACGCCATGTTGGAAACAGAGTGTATCCACGCCCACATAAAGCACCTGCACTAACCTGTACCAAGCCCACAAATTAGAAATCCTTAGATAGCACACCTGCACCTAGCGTAGTGTGTCCATACTAGAATCGTGACACACCTGTACCAAACTAGTTAGACATTTTTTGGAAAAATTTCTTGTCTTTATCATGCTCTACTTATATATATGCCCATGAGGATGATTTTTGGTATCTAGGGAGGCTAGAGGCTGAGAGAAAAGAGGGATTTTGATTAGAGAGAGCTCTCCCCTTAAGTTTTCTTCTACCTTTGATTTAAAATTTTAAGGGCTGAATTTCCTCCTCTTGTTCTTGTGATTTCTTTAAAGCATTTTTGTGAGAGGGAAAGATTCTAATCTTGTGGAGAAGTAATTTTTTATTTTAAATTTAACATTTCTTTGTTTCTTGTTGTAAAGATCTACATAGTTTTCTAGTCTCTTATTTTCTCGACAATGTGTTGCTAAAATTTTTTTTGTGTCTATGTGATGTAGGGTGTGGCTTTATCATGGTTTTTTAAGTTGTTTTTTAATAGTGTTTTTCCTTTCTTTTATAGCCTTATGTTGTTGGTTAACCTTATGGATTTCAATTACTCATAATCTAGCCAATTAGAATGCTAAAACTGTCGCATAGTAGAACAAAAAGGTTGACCCTGAAAAGATAGACATATTCAAGTAGGACTATGCAACCTTTATAGAGGATCAAAAAAATCTTAGGAAATGACATAGGGTGAATCAAGACTTAACTTCATGTTTTTTTAATTCCTCTTTTGACCTATAAATAAGCATAAGAAAAAACTTATCCCTCATTGGCAACTATCACGTAGAAAAACTTTAAAGAACACCATGAACTACCACGATACTCGAATCACAGATGCACGAGACTCATTATTTCTAAAGAACATCTAAGATTTCTCTCCAGTTTCTATTTTCTGTAGTCTGCAATTGATTTGTTTTTTGTAGAATTTTAGGATTTCAACACATTTTGAGATCTCACCAAGCTAGGTTTATATGATTAGCAAACTAGAGATTTTGTGTTAAAATTATTAAACATTTCATCGAGGGATCAATTTGTGGACCCATAGAGCACATATTACCTAACATGTATACATGTACTATTACTTCATGATAAGATTAAGTGTGTCAAGTTTTTTATACCGTTGCTGGAGAAAAGCATTAATAAATATTTTTATTTTAGAAGAGTTTTAGTTGATAAGCTTAAGATCTAGATTTGACACTTTTGTATTCTTGTTTCTTATTGTCATTTATTATTTCTGTTATTGCATCTTTTTTGTTATTATATTTCCATGCAAGTGCTAAAAAAAATTGAGAAGCTATGAAAAACTATAAAGCCAAAAAACAAAAATGTGTCTATTTTCCTTTCTTAAATGTGATGCATCCTTTGTATTTTTGTTTGTTGACTGGCTTGTGTGGGTCATCGTGATTGTTTGCTTGTTTGAAGTCTGTTAAGTTTGTTGTAGGAATTCTTTGTTCATGTTAATTAGTATGCAAAAGGGAGTTGAGTCCGACCTTTCCTCGTTTGACCCTAAAATTCAACGGGCCATCAAACACCTTAAGAGATCACACTCAATCACTGACAAACCCATTGAGATGGAGAACCCTAAAACCCTCAACATGAAACCACTTAAAGATTATGGCAACCCTTAGGTTAAAGAAGTCCACATGAGCATCAAATATCCCACTATAGAGGCCAACACCTTTAAGCTGAAACAACATAATTCAAATGGTCCAAAATAACCAAT